AGATGAGGCTCATGTCACTTCTGTTCATGTTTCACTGACTAAAGCAAGTCACATGGCCAAGCCCAATGTCAAAGGGTCAGTCATCCTGGGGGACTAGTGGGGGTGCTGTGTGATGAGAAGTAGGCAGAGAATATATTTGAACAATGATACATTCCCTTGTGTGCTTTTCAAAGACTTGAATCACAGCAAATATTTCTGGAGAGCCCACTATGTGCCAGGGGGAGATGAAGAAATCATACTAATCACATATCCCATGGGGGAGATGAAGAAATCATAATAATAAAAACTAGAAGTTTTTAGGCCTTATTACCCCAGATACTATGGTAAGCACATTGCATGAATCAACTCTTGTAATTTTTCCATCAGCAGTTATTAGAGATAAGATTAGGGGCTCAGAAAGGTCATGCCATTTGCCCAAGTTCACACAATCTGAGCTCCTTGGGAGTTTATATTCTCTGGGTATCCTAGGATGTGTTCCAGGCTGTAAGTAAAAAGATGGCTCACTACTTTATGCTTTTCAAGAATTTGTTTAGTAACTTATCAATCACCCATCATATGCAAGAACTGAGGCGAGGTCTTAGGCTGTGTTAGAAGAAAGACTGTAGGACAGTGTTTAGGAATATCACCAGGACCTTCATTCTTCCCATCTCTCTATTAGCTGAATGACCTAGGGGAGTCACTCACCCCTCTCAGCCTCCAGATCCTCATCTAAAACTGAGGATGCTACCGAGTCTACCTTTCGGGCTGTCCAGTCAACAGGATCCATTGAGCGCCTCCTCTAGGCCAGATGCTGTTCCTGATGTCAGCGCTGTAGCCATGAGCAGACCACCCTTGACCCTTATTTTCTAGTAGAGGGAGAAATAAAGGAAACCAATGAATCAGTATGTAACAATGTGAATAGAATAAGTGCTATAAAAATAAGGCAGAGAAGGGAGATTGAGTGATGGCAGTGCTATTTGAAATAGAGTGGTCAGCAAGGACCTTATATACTGATGAGGTGACATTTGAGTGTAGACCCAAATAAAGTGAAAGAGGAACAGAAAGTGTGTTTCCAATGGAGAAAACAGCAAATCTAAAGCCCATGAAGTCAGGCTGTGTTCCATGGCAAGGGGGCGGGGAGTAGAGGAGGCCAGTACAGCCCAGCTGAAGCAGGTGAACAGGGAGGAGATGGCAGGAGTGAGGCGGAGAGAGGCAGGACCAGACTGTAAAGGACCTCATAGGCCACAGAAAGGAGTTGCACTACTATTCAACCCTGAGCGTTAAATGAGATAACATGGAAAGGGGCTTAGCACAGTGCCAGGTGCATAGTAAGCTTTCACCAAATGAATGAATGTCAGCAGTTCTTCATTCACTCAATGACCAACGGTTTATGCAGGACCTGTTATGGGCTAGGCATTATCCCGGATGCTTGGGAATCACTAGTGTGCACAGCAATCAAGGATGCACCTGAGAAGTTCGATTTGAGCACGAGAACCAGACAGTAAGATAAATAAACGATGGAGCATGTTAGAAAGTGGTAAATGCATTGGATAACTGATGGGGAAGGGGCGTGTCAGGCTGTGATATTCAGTGCTGATAAAGGGACCTGCAGGCCTCACTGAGAACAAAGACTCAAAGCGGGTGAGGGCTTTGGGGAAGCAGATTTTGGGGGGGAGGAGCATTGCAGGCAGAGGGAACAGCTGAACAAAGGCCTGGAGATGGGACCATTACTAGTGTGTTTAAGCAAGGACACCAGGGTGCAGGGCTGGGTGAACCAGGAGGAGAGGAGCAGGGGTGTGGGGGCCAGGTGATGCCGGACCTTGAAGGCCACAGCAAGGACTTTGGCTTTGCTGAGTGATGTGGTAGAGAGTTCTGAGCAGAGGAGGGACACGATCTGAGGTGAGTTTAACAGGGTGGCTCCAGCTGCTGGGCGGAGCAGGTACTCGATGGGACATGTTGACATGTTGGAAGCAGGGAGATCATTAGGAAGCCATAGCTATAGTCCACGTGTGGGGTGATGGTGGGTGGGGCCCAGGTGGCAGCAGTGGAGGGGATGAGAAGGAAAAGGACTCTGGATGTATGTTCAGGCTGAGCCCTCTCCGCAGTCCCTGTCTATGTCCTGCACCCCTAACCTCAGTGTCACTACTGCCGGGAGAAGGGCGCCACCATCAGCATCCCATGCCTAAGCTCTAAGCTCAGGACAGGGCACGGGTCTCTGCCCGGCTGTGTGGGAACATCGCTTGTTTATTCATGCTGGCTGCTCCCCTACTGACAGCGCGGAGGCATCCGAGGCCAGGCCTGAGAGGAGCACGGGATCAGGATGCCAGCAGCAGAGATAAAGAGTGCTTTTCTACGACAGGAACCTCTTCTCTCAGTCCTCCTGGTGCTATTTTTAGAAGGTCCCCCCAATCCCATTGGCACCCCCTTAAAGTCTTCGAACAGCACCCTCACCTGATGCCCTGTTACCATGCAGACATTTTTAGGAAGTCTTTCTTTTTCAGAGGAATTAATGTATTCTGGTTTGCATGTGTTTGTTCACTTATGAATTCATTTTGCAAATAATTCATGTGACCCCGCAGGGGTCAGCTCCTACAGCCCCATCTGTGACATGTGACTTTGACCCCACCTCAACCGTAGATAATGATAAACACAGGGAAACATAATTTTATTTGAATATGAAAAAGAATATTCCTTTGCAATAATGTCTTAGGGCCAGACACCCTGATAAGTGGTAAAGATACGGTGTGGGCACAGTCAGTACAGCCCCTGGCTGCAGAGAGCAGATCATTGAGTCGACAGACAGATAATGAGTAAGTGACCCAGCCCACGAGCAGTGCAACATTGAAGCAGGGGCGAAGGGTGCAGACTTGGGAGTTACCTCCTTGCTGGGGGATCTTGGGCAAGTTACCCAACCACTCTGTGCTTCGTTTTCCTCACTGGTGAAACGAGGAATAAGAAGATCCCCTACTTTGTAGATTTACTGATGGATTACATTCTTATGTACAAAGCTCTCATGGGGATATCACACATAGAAAACGTCATGTGGGTGTCAGCTATTGTTATTATAAGCATTTAATTCGGATTATGATCATCTATGAAAGGAACATATAGGGTATTTATAAACATTGAAAAGAAAGAGTAGAGAGGGTGCCTCTCCATGGAAGTAAATTTAGGGTGAGCCCTGAAGGATGAGGAGGAACCAGCTTTGCAAAAGTGTAGGGCGAGGGGGCAGAGTGTTTGAGGCAGAGGGGAGGGTGTAGGTAAAGACGCTGATGCAGGGAAAGAGATTGTCCCTTTGGAGTTTAGAGGGAGGGCAATGCAGGACACAGTGAGCCTGCCAAGCTACCTGGTCCTTTCCCAGGTCTTAGACACCAGGAAACAAGAGCCAAGTGGACTGACCGGAACTAGCCAGTGGCAAGTTTAATGCCCTGGAAGATTATGGCACAGATCCTTGTCAAGTGGTCCTTCTAAAGACTGAGTCATTGTCAATCACTGCATGCATTTTGCCTCTTTTCCTGCTGTGTCTAGGGGAAGACACCTTATAGGACCTGTATCCAGCCACACCCCTGTGATCTGATATCTACCTCACCCAACGGAGTCAGCTCCTGCAGCCATGTTTGGGACACGCAATTTCTACTGTATCTTGAGCAGAGCTGATTGGACTGGGCACAAAATGGACCAATTGGGTTCTCACCTGGGAATTTAGAGTTGGACTTGGTTATTCTTAGCAGTTCGTTGTGGGCACTTGAACTGAAATAACATGAGGAGAAATGGGGTGGGCACATTTGAGTCATGGGCAATAGAGGCAGAAAAGGCTACTCTCCAGAGGAAGAAAAAATAAAAAGCAATTAGCCGAGAGCAGCAGAAAGGAGGGAGAGTGCAGCTCGAGAAGGAGAGGGAGAGAGAACAGTGGCCTTGGACCTGATAAGATTTCATGGGCGGTCTGCAGGATCTTTGCTTCCATGAGCCTTTTAAAGTAGAAAATTCTCAGCAACTAACATGTGTGCATTCCAAGAACCAAAAATCCAGCTCAACACGTAAGCTATCTGTCTATGGGTTTATACAAACAGCAATCATTTTAGGTCGTTCATCCTGGAATTTCTGCTTATCTGAGCATCTGGTTGACTAAAACATTGGAAGAGGCATAGGGACAGATCTATCCACAGGGCAGCGTTTATGGATTTCTTTTTTAAAATTTTCTCTTCTTGATTAATTTGTTGTGGAATTAATAATACTAGTTAATATTTATCAAATAATTCCTATGTGCCAGATACTACTTTAAGTGTTTGACACGAATTCATTTATTTAATGCTCAGATCAATCCGATGAAACAGGTGCTATCATTCCCATTTACAGATGAAAAACGGGAGCATAGAAAACGAAGCAACTTGCCCAAGAGCACCTGTTAGCACCTGTCAGAACTGGAGCTCAAACTCAGCTGAGGAGTCCCAGAGTCCAGGCTCCCAGCATCACACTTTCAGCATTTGCCCCCATGGCTGGTTCATGACTTTTATAGGATTGCCATGTTCCTGACAGTTATTGTGTTACTGCTCTGAGATGTTAGAAAGGCTCTCTCCCCATCCTCTCTGCCACCGCCCCCCCCCCCCACCCTCCATCCCCAAATATTTAGCAGCCGTGGCAGAGCAACCAGAAGGCAGCATTTGCATGTGGCAAAGCAGAGCCATTAGGCAAATCACTTACCTAAGGTAATAAAAATGGTAGTTAGCATTTATTTACTACTTAATGTATGCCAGGCTATGCCCTCTGGAGCCAGAATTTCATGTAATCGTTACCTTTCCCTATGAGGAAGATATAACTGTTTCCCCCACTTTGCAGATAATAAAATTCAGATTTAAAAAGCGTATATGATCTAGCCAGGGTCACAGAGCTAGTATAGGATGGAGCCAATATTTAATCCCCTGTCCGATGACACATTTACACACACACCCCCAAAGCCTTGACTCTTAAGTACCAAGATCCTTCATTCCAGAACCGAAAGGAGAGACAAGGCAGAACCCAGCATGGACCTGGCAATTGCCATCAGTACCTTCTGAATCCTAGGGATTCATGCCTGAGTGCTGAAAAGCACGGGCTTTTACAGTGAAAGGGGGTCAAAACTAAAAGGGTTGTTTTGGTGACGTTTCTGGGGACACTGAGTGTACCAAGGTCATAGGACATAGGTGGTCTCAGCAATATCTGTTTCAACAGGGACTTTTGTAGTTGCTTGGTGGTTCCAATGCCATCTCATCCCTCTCGCCACTCATGGTGTCCTCACCCCCTCACCCATAGGGGGCAGTGAAGAGCAGAAGAAAAAGGCAGGTTTCCTATGATGGCCTAGGCCAGACATTCCCCATGAGACTCCCCCAAACGGTGAGCCTGCGGTCTTGGTGAGCTTGAGGTGGAGATGGGGTTGCCATTGTAGATAGGATGCAGCCAGAGAAATAAGGCTGTGAGATGTGTGCCCAGGATGCTCACTCTAGTTTTGTCTATTACACAGAGATTACACAGATCAAAACAGTACAGCTTTTTTCACCAAAGATTCACAGGACACCTGCCATGTGCCAGGCACTATGGCGTACAGCACACACAGCAGATAGCTGAGTTCATGATGATGCTATTAGATGAGAAGAGTGACAACAGAGGCAAAAGAATTTAAGATGTTTTCACATGTTCACACGTACCAACACTAAGCTAAGAACTTTACTGAACCTATTTAATCCACACAAAACCAAAAAACACAAGGTAGGCATTACTATCCTCAGCGATGAGAAAACCCAGGCTCAGTGGGGCAAAGAGTATTCTTAGGCTCACACAGCGAGAAAGCAGTGGCTCCAGGCTTCACATATCCACCCAAATCCTGGCTCCTGATCCTAAGTATGTGAATAAACACCGTGCTCTGTTGCTTCTCGTGTTTGTCAAGTTGATGTTTTCTTCTTTAAAATGGGCTTTGAGTCTTCCTGGGAGGTTGTCCGTAGAGAGACCACTCCCACCCCATGAGCTGACAAGTGTCGGTGCCCACTGAGAAGTCATTGTGGTACACAGGGAGGTGAGGAGACACGGCTGCCCCTGGCAGTGTTCCAAGGGCTTTTGCTTGTTCTGTTGTTGTGTGTGGGCAAGTTTGGCCTGGTGTTTATTTTTTAACACAGCCATAAATAGTTGATGTGGTACAGCTATCCACCTCACCAGCCTCTCTGTTGTGGGGTCTGCATCCCAAACTTGTAGGGCCCGGAGACGTGTTTTAGCCTAAAAGAACATTTCTCAACCACAGAGCTGCTGAGACAAGCATTAAATTCTGAGGCCAGAGTCAAGGTGAGCAGACAGGAAGGCTGGGATTTGACCACACCTGCTGAGACCAGAGCCTCAGGCTGGGGACCTCAAGCAGAGCTGCATTCTACACACCTTGTCCTCTCTGGGGACACGGAATGGAAACACAAGTAGGGCAATGTCAATGTCATGTTTCTGGTTTGCAAACAACAGAAACCAATTCAGGCTGGTGTTGCTGAAAAGAAATGTATTAAAAGTTATCAGTTAGCTCATGGGACCTCCAGGAAGTGGTACAGTGGATTAAATGGAGGCATGCAAAGAAATATGTCCATATTTGAAACTGGTGAGTGTGACCTTATTTGGAAAAAGGGTGTGTACAGATGTAATTAAGTTAGGTATCTTGAGATAAGGAGGTTATTCTGGATTATCCTGGTGGGCCCTAAATCCAATGACAAGTGTCTGTATAAGAACAAGTAGAAAGAGAGTTGACACACTCAGAAGAGAGACATGGAGAAAAGAAGAGAGTGTGACCACAGAGGCAGAGATTGGAGTGATGCGGCCACAAGTCAAGGAATGCCAACAGCCACCGAAAGATGTTAGAAGCCAAGAGCGAAATCTCCTGTAGAGCCCCTAGAGGAAACACGGCCCTGCAGACACCTTGATTTTGAACTTTTGGCCTCCAGCACTGTGACAGAATATGTTTCTGTTGTTTTAAGCCACCAAGTTTGTGGCCATTTATAACAACAGCAATAGGAGACTAACAGAGGTGGAGAGAACAAGCTTGGAGGCTACATCAAGGGCAATCCTGACACTCACACTGCAGAACTGGTGCAGCAGAGGTATCACTGTCCCCACCGTGGGCCTCACAGACCGTGCAAGGCCAGCCCTGACACTTTACTAAGCTTTGGCCACTGGAACAGCTGGATGAAAATGCTGCCCTTATAGGCGGTACCAGCTCCCAAGGTGAAGTCTGGAACAAGCAACCTGATTGGTGAAACCTAAATCACATGCTTTCACTCTAGCTGCAAGGGAGGCTGGGAGAGGTGGTGTCTGGCTTCTGTAGTAACAGATGGGAACTTACAGCATGGGAATTCCCCAAACATAGGGAGGGGCTGGGCAGTCAAAAAGAGGGAGAGGTGTCTAGAAGGTGGCTAGCAGAGCAGACCCACATCCTGTTCCCTGACTCTTCCAGTTCATCGGAAATAACGGGGAAGCCCAGCTTTCCACAGCATCAGCAGCCCTAGGACCATCGCACTGAGTGACCCATGCGTCAGGAGTCCTACACATGGCTATAACACAGTGCCGGGCTTGCCCAATGTCATTGCTGTGGCAGCTGGGTTTGTTTGGTTTTTCAGAGTTAGCTTTTCCTTTATGGTTGATGTTTGCTTCTTACTGAATGCTGGGCATCGATGCAGGTCCATTACGTGATCAGGCCCCTTCACTCCCTGCACTGCTCCCTATGCCCCAGCCATGCTGATCTCACTCTGCTTCTGGAACATTACTGCTCCCTTCCTCCTCAGGGCGTTTGCTCATCCATTCCCCGCTGCCTGGAATTCACTCCCCTGGACCTGACGTGATTCACCACCTCACTTGATTCAGCCTCAACTCTATGTCTAAATGTCATCTCTTCTGGAAAAACCTTTCCTGGCCATCCAGTCTAAAATAGCCCCTCGCCATCCCTTTACCCTGCTGTATTGTTGAAGCACTTACCACTAGCTGGTATGAATTAAGTATTTATTTGCTTATTTTTATTGTGTCTCCACACCCCCCCCCCCAAACTAGACTGTAAATTCCTTTTTTATGTTTTGTTTGCTGTTGTATCCCTGGTGCTGAGGAGAATTCCTGGCATGGTGCTCAATGGTACTAATCGGATACAGAAACCATATTGTCCCTACTAGTTTAAACATTCTTTTCTTCCCCACTAGGATTTAGCCATTTCTAGGCAATAATTTAATCTCATCTGGATCTCCCCCCAGAGCCTAGGAGAGTGCTGAGCACACACAGGGCCTCAGGGAATATCTGTCAGAGGGATGAATGGATGGATAGGCACATTTACACTCTTATTAACCCAATCACTTAGATGTAAACATGCAAGATTCTCAAGTGGAGCTTTCTCCTAATGGTGTTTCCTGGCCTTAAGCTAGCATCCAGTGTAATTGGAGCTGTTTTGGTATAGCTTTGTTCGCGCACACAGCAGCTCTGTGCGAATACAGCAAGCTATGTACACATAGAATCTCCCTCTAGTAAGGAGCAATAAGCATCCATCTAATTTGCATGTTTTTATTCATTAGCAGAAGAGCTCTCTTTCCCCCAAACAAGAACTGATGCTAACGTCAATCTATAAAACAGATGAACAGGGAACGTCCCTGGCCAGGGGCCTGGGACCTGGCCCATATCATCTCTCCTTACAGCATCATGGCTACAAGCGCTGGGTCTCACTAGCAGCTTTGGGAACCCCTGTGCAGATAAGAGCAAAGACCGCACCTTTCTTGACTCAGCCTCAAGTTTCCCCAGGCCAGTGGTCTCTCCTACAGCACAAGTAGACACTACCCTGTGCCTGGCCCCTGCTCTGTGGTACAGTGTCTCTGCTCTGTCCACACTGTGGACCAGGTCATTCTATCTTATGGGCAGCTCTGTCCTATCTTGTAGGGTGTGTACCAGCACCGCTGGCCTCCACTCACCAGATGCCAGAAGCAACTCTCCAGGTGTGACAACCAAAACCATCTTGTTGTTGCCAAAGGTCCTCTGAGAGTGAAGGGCAACATCACCCACATTGAGCTCTGTACTATGATTAATACATCCTTTTTCTTGCCTTTTCATGGGATTATCATCGAGATCAAGTCTATCCAAGATGCATAGGAGGCTCAGTTTCCATGGATATTGACATGTGGGCCTTTCATGTAAGCTCCTGTGGATTTTATTCTTTCATCAATAAGACTCAAGGCTCTCGCTGACCTTTCAACCACATTCTGAGAATCTTGTCAAGCTCCATCCCATTGTCCCATTTGGCCTCTCTTTATCGTCAGCGGTGTCCCCTTTCTCACAGCTGTGCAGGCATCACTCAGAATGCGGGGTCCTGTAAGGCTTGGAGGAAAAGGGCAGTGGGTAGCAATGACATAGCAGACACATTTTCCTGTGTTTGAAACTGCAAGGCCTTTCATGATATACTGGGGTGTCTCCAGACTCCTAAATGGTTTGAACTTTTTTAACATGACCTTGAACATAAATGATCTTTGGATAACAAGTGAGAGAATTCATATTTCTAAAGCGGAAAGCCATCCTGTGTGCCTTCCAAAAGGAGGTCTATTGTATGAGCAGGGAAAGAAGGTTCCGACATACCCCTGAATGTGATTTATCCATGTCACACTCTCTACAAAGGCACCGGGCTTGGGTTGCTATATTTCCAAGCTTCCCATGCTCACTAATTTCTCTATAGAAGAAGAGCAGGTGGCCTGGCTGCCACAAAGTGCCTAGGAGGGAACTCATCGGAGTTCGGTTCATTGGAACAGGAATGACAGAATGTCAATTTCCCTCCTAACTGCATGTCATCCTCAGGCATCAAATAAGCAATTATAGGAGGCTAAATTGAATTTATTTCCAAGTCAGACGGGCAGCCCATGCCTGGGATGCTCCACCAAGGGACACAGCCTTTGTGACTATGTGTGTCATAGAAAGCCCAGGGTGGCGGGTCTCTGAGCCATGTTGCCTCCTGCCACTCAGGGTCAGCCTGGCTGAAATTGTCCCTGGCAGCTTCCTACCTGGATTTTCCATGTCTACCC